TCATGTGGTCGGTCGTGTAGGCGTACATGTGGATGATTTCTTGATAGCTGGAGATTTGCAGAATGATGTGTGTGTCAACATTCGATCCCAGATCAAGGCGATGTACCAGTGGAGTCCTTGGAAACGAGGACAATTCACTTTTGCCGGAGTTCAGCTGCAGCAATTGCAAGACTTTTCAATTGTTTTGAGCCAAGAGCTTTTCTGCAATGAGCTGACACCAGTGATCATTCAAAATGAGCGCATGAGACCAAAAGATGACAAGCTGACAGCAAGTGAGCTCAGTCAATGTAGAGGACTCCTGATGAAGGCACAATGGCGAGCTATACAGTCAGCTCCTCAGTACTGCTGCCGAATTGGTCTGGCATCATCAAGTCTGACAAAAGCAACCCTGGATGTTCTCAAAGAGGCCAATAGCATAGTGAAAGAGCTTCGAAAGACAAGCCAGGACAGCTTGATCTTCCACTCCTTTTTCGAAGAGAACGTCAAATGGAACCAAGTCATTTTCGTTCATTTTGGAGACGCAGCAAGAGGAAATCGAATTGACGGCTCAGATACCGGAGGCTACATCTCAGCAGTAGCCTCACCGAAAATACTGCAAGGCACAGCAGCAAAGATGTCCATCCTCGACTACAAGTCTTGGAAGTTAGACCGACCGGTGAGAGGATCCAATGGATCGGAAGGGCAAGCTCTGTACTTCACAGAGGATGCCGGATGGAAGATTCGGCTCGTATGGGCATTGATTTATGGAAAGAAGCTCAAACGAGCAAATGCCGATGAGTTGACGGCATGTGTGGAAAGCCTTCTAGTCATGGATAGCAGAGGATGCTATGATGCCCTCAGCAACTCGGACAGTCCTTTACTTGGCATGAATAACGCCAAGACTGGAACAGAACTCATGGCAGTGCAACGTGGCCTTCAGCCACACATGCGATGTTACCCAACCTGGACTCCAAGTGACATGAACTTGAGCGATTGTATGACAAAGGTATCAACAGAGGCATTCAAAGTGTATGCTTTGTACTTGACTCGAAAAACCTGGATCATACGGTTCAATGAGGAATTTGTTGCAGCACGGAAACAACAGAAGCTTCGACGCCAACAGGGCAAGCAACCGCACGCACTACTTGATCCGGACCCAGAAGATGAAATGTGGGCCGGACTTGAACGATGACATGCATAACTGAGAATGGTGTCCATGCAACGTTCGAAGGTGAAGACGTCAGTTCATGCATGTAGAGTTGAGCGTTTCACTAAGGATCCATGCACTGTGGCCAGTTGGGCCCAACTTTTGCCAAGGAAAACGGGCTTAGATACGTTTTGTGCGCCATAGGGTTGCCATGACATGTTGAAGAGGGTGTATGCCCACAGAGTTGCGCGCAGGATTCCCAAAAACAGCTGTAGCTAGCAGCGCGCTGTAAGGCCTTAGGGCCGCTCGGTTGTGAAAAATCAATATTCTGACAAATGGGCACTCGGGACATACACAAGTATACCCCCTTTGAAAGATGTGGCCCCGACACATGCTGGGGCACATGAGGGGCGCTGGATTTCCAGGACCTTACTGTAACCTATGGGTGGTTGACAGTTATGGTAGAATGTTTCGAAGCTGGTGCTTGTCATAGATTGAGGTGTAATAGCTGCCACTTCAATGGAAACTTGGTTCCGTTGTGGATGTTATTAGAACGGGTTTTTGGGAAAGGTAGGTTGAGCAGACCTGCGGCGGTACTAGGCTGATATGGGCCATGTGTTTTTTTTGTGTCAGGGTGCGAAACGGAGTGAATACCAGAGTGCACTTTTCCTAACTGTGGTGCGAGTTCTTTGACGAAGTGCACCAGGGTCCAGGATGGGGTAAATAAAGGCCAGGATCTGCCTCAATAGAATTGGTTCGCAAGTAGTTTTGTAATCCCTGCTTCGCCCGAAGCAACTCCAGAATTTTTTTTTTTATTATGTTTCAGTGCCGGATCCAGCTTGCGAGTTTGTTCTTGCACCGTGATTGCGGGTTTGGGTTGCAAGATGGCTGTGGTGGCAGTTGGGGCCAGCAAAGCGGGCACACAAGAGATAAATACGGTGCAGCTCAATGCAATTACCCTTTTGGTTGGGGTGAGGCAGGGGCATGAGCAGGAAAGTAAGATGACTCATCTTCTTGTGATTTCTTCAGAGGAAGGCTTCCGCGCCAACAGCAAGACCAACACAAGATAAACAAGAGAAGCGAACAAGGAGACACAGTAACAAAAAACACACCAAAATTAATGGTTTTGGTGGCTAGTTTGTCCGACCGAGTCCTACCTTCTTATCTTCTTAAACCTTTTGTACCTGCCTAAGCTTCAGGACGGCTAAAACTGAAAATATCAGAAAAAAGGAGAGACAAGGGACAGTGGAGACAGTCAACTCCAGATTTGTTGGTAGCTTGTTCCATTCTTTTATCTTCCTAATCCATTGTCACCTGCCTAGAAAGCAATGACGGAAAAAAATAACAAAACATTCAAACTATTAAAAAAACGAAAAACGTCCCAAAAATTGTTTGTCGCAAGGGTAGTGCCAAAGGTGAAACAGACAATGCAGCAAACTACCACCCAATTTCTCCACTGAGGCTATTGAAGGCAAATTAGCAAAGACCCAATATGGCTTTCGGCCTGGCAATTCAACCTTGCACGCTGCATATGTGATCCACAGAATCCAAGATTACGTAGAATCTAAAGGAACGCGTTTAAGTCTTGCTTTACTTGATTGGGCGAAGGCGTTTGATAAATTCAACATGACAAGTTAATTCTGGCGCTTTAAGCGGGTGGGGTTCAGTTTGCACTTTACAATGAACCAAAACTTTGGATGTTCCGAGTGCGAACTAAGTGCAGTCAATGGGTGTTAAATGGAAAAATTATGGGGCTTGAGTTTGACATGGCTTGTTATGCGGATGATACAATTTTGTGCCCACTGACACCACAGGCCTTGATGAAAAATTCGACGCCTTCCAGTTGCGTTGCGTGAAAAAAATTCTTGGGATAGCCCCAACGTTCATAGATAGGCGAAATGCAAACCAGGCAGTAACCCAGAAATGTACTGAAATAGTTGTCACGCACCGGGAAGACCACAAAAACATAATGTTTTCGTGCTGAATGTTATCTTCGCCGTAAGACAGAACTAGGGCATGTGCTTAGAGCCTGCGAGGACGACCCTTTATGCCAAACATTTTTTGGATCAAAATCCAGATGCCGCAAACAGGGTGGACTATGGTAAACAGCGCCGTGGTCGTCCCAAGCAAAATTGGCCGCATGATGCGAAGAAAACCGCTTATGAATTGAATATCCATGAAAGTGACGACACCGAATCTGAAGAACATGATTTCCAAAATTATAACGCAGCCTTCCCCGAGAACTTTAAATGTTTTCCGTTGTTTTTTGGGTATGCCAACGCCTTGCTTGTTTTGACGATGCTTCATTGCAGGGTAAGGCTGGGAAAAAAATAGCGAAAAAGACACGGAGACGCAGTGAAAAACGTAACTCCGGAACTATGCTGGTTTTCCTAATCCCTTGTCACCTGCCTAGAACTCAATACAGCTAAAAGTGCCAAAGTAAACAAAAGAAAAGAGAGAGATGGACCAAAAAACAAGTGTAGGAGACACAGTCAACAAAAGTTAGCCCCAGACTCAATTCCTTTGTGGGGGCTAGTTTGTCCCACCTTCTTATCTTCTGAATTCTGTCGCCTGCCTAGAATTCAATACCACTAAAGGTGAAAAAGACAAAAACAACCATAGAGAAAGAGAAGGAAACAGGAAGACATAATGAAAAACACATTGACTTCAGAGTTAACTTTTTTGGTGGCTAGTTTGCATCACCTTCTTATCTTCCTAATCCTTTGCCACCTGCCTGGTGTTCAATACACCTATAGATGGACAAGGAGACGGAAACAAGCAGACACAGTGAAAGCGAATCATTTCCAGAGTTAATTTTTTGTGGCTACTTTGTCCAACCTTTTTACTGTTGGGGTTCTATCTTAAAACACGGGATGCAAAAGGGCTGGCCACACTGACTGGCCGCGCGGGGCTCTGCCGCGCTCTGTGGCCGGGCTCTGTAGCCGGGTATTGTCCTCCTTTTGTCCTTCATTTGTCCTGCTGTTGTTTTCCTCTTGTCCTTTTCTTGTCCTTCTGTTGTCCTCTGGCCGCGCTGACCAGCCCTGGACACACTGACTGGCTGCGCCCCTGAACTCTGGCCGGGCTCTGTGCCCAGGTCTTGTCCTCATCTTGTCCTGCTCTTCTCTTGTGTTCCCTTGTGGCCGAACGAGCAGCGATGTCGATGCCGACAAAAATCATTGATTAAACAATTTGCTCTTGGGGGGAAGGTGGGGTGTACCAAGAAATCATTTTTGAGTAATATTGATCCCAACGAATGGTTTTGGGGCTGTTTGGGGTCCATGCTGGTATTTTTGTAATTTTCTTAATCCTCTGTCACCTGCCACGAGTGCAACACAGCTAAATGTGAAGAAGCAACAAAACATAAGCAATAACAACTTAACGCAAAACTCACGAATGAACTCCTTTCGGGTGGCTGGTTTGTCTCACCTTCTTACCTTCCTAATCCTGCACCTACCTAAAACTCTAAGCGACTTAAAGTGAAAAAATGCAGAGATAGACAACAAAGGAAACAAGGACACACAGTGAAAAAAAACAGCTAGCATTAGTTCTCTATTTGCACAATGGACAGGTTTAACTCCAGAACCAATTTTTCTAGAGTTGCAGATTGGCAGTGGTAAAATCTAAAAACATTAACACTGGAATTGCATACTGTTTAACTCTTGTATTCAACCTCTTCCTCAAAGCGCCGGGAAATTGGTCATACACCCCCACAACCTGTGGCCCCGTTACACGGTGGTGCATGGATGAGCTGAACTGATTGAAGGAGTTGTCAGGAAGTGAATGTGGCATAATGTGGCCAACAAAATGGGAATAAGGCCGTGTAATTGATTTCGTTTTTCATAACCAGTGGGTTTGGATACGTCATGTGATGCAGGCTTTGTCGGTCGAGAGTGGTGCTTTTGGAACTCGAAATCCGAACGTGCAGTTCTACTTGCCACCTGGCATTTTTAACAGGGTTTTTTCCTTTTGGTGCAGCAGCGCCGGTTTAAGAAGTCATTCTTCCAATATTGGTGCTGTGTGGTTTTCATTGTGTGACGCAGCTTTTGCTCATACCGGCTGTCCACTAACAGTTTGCTCATACCGGCTGTCCACTAATAGCATCGTTACTTTTGCCGTTACATTTTATGCCTTTCAGCGTCCCGTCCATGTTTTGTTGCGCAGCACGTTCAGGAAACCTTCGTTGATGCCCATTTGTGGGTCAGTGGACCTCAAGACTCATGTCCTCTACCAAAAGGACTTGGCTTTTCTCAAGAAGGCTGGAGTGACAAGTGTTCAAGTGCGCCGCCGAGGGGGGATATGCTTGGGGGAGAATATGACATCCTGGTGATTCAGGAAGCGGACGGTAAAAACTCCAAAATAATTGGACGCTGTTGAATTGTGACCGAATTTGAGTTTCCTCCTTCCATTTTCTGCCTGGCATCAGGGAAAAATCGTAGGAACACGTTTACGTGTTCCCGTTTTTGCTCTTTCAAAAGATGGTCGTGACATTTTGGTCAGGATGGGCAACACGAAGTGAGGATCAACAAAGAGATCTCCAGCATTTGGACTGCCAAAGAGCTGCTGAACTTCGCCCACGCGCGCTCGACCGAGTTCGACTTGGCCAACGTCGTCACCGTGCTGCACCGAATCGCCAAGTCCGCCGACCGTTGGCAGATGAAACGGGACGCAAGGCTTGGGAAGATTGTGGCTCAAGCAGTGGATGCTTGGCTTTGGCATTCAGGATGCGCATGTCAAAACATGTTGACCATTAACCAACAAAACTCGCATATGAAAAATTTTGACCATCCAGGTAGGGGGTCTGGACTTTCTGGAAGGGCAGTCCAGCTTATTGGGCAACATTTTCGACATGATGGGTTGTGAATCAGAAAGGCTCCCAGGCTCCGCGTTGTAAAGAGTGCAAGTGAGCAAAGATTCGGCATGTAGGCCCCATGCCACCCCAAGATGCTGTGCAAAATTTAAGAAGCCATTCCGAGGGTTGTTGCATTTTAACTGGTACCAGGAATCAGTTACATCCTTGCCAGGGCCTTGTCATCAGTAGTTAGCCTGGAGTGCACCGTGGCTACCCTCCAAATAACGATATATCGGGATCCCAAAAATTGGCGGGGCGCATTTGAGCAGCAAGGATGTGCTTGGAGAAGATGGGCGGACAACACCTCGCGACATAGCAAAGACTCAGTGGGCCATAGGCATGGCCGTCTGGCGGGTAGGAGGTAGCAGTCGGTAGGAGACAGAAGGATGACCCACATGAGAGCTTTCAGGTTCAGCATGTCAGCACAGTCGAGTTTCCTTGGGGGCAGATCTCCTGTAAACACCATTTGTAGAGCGTTTCTCATTTCACGGCATCAGTAGCTGGAATGGGTCTGGCACTGTGAGTTGAATACAATATAGCAAGCCAGCAAGCCCTTAAACGACGGGCTTTGTTCTCATCATCATCGTCATCATCCTCGTCGTCGTCGTCGTCGTCGTTGTTGTTGTTGCTGTTGCTGCTGGACAGGACGCTTGCACGCACAAGATGCCCCAGTGCAAGAGAAACTCAACAGAGCGATTGCTAGGCGAATGAGTGAGTTCGAAGCACAAGGATTGTCCAATGTCATTTGGGGCCTGGCCTTCGCGGAACAGGACCGGTGATGTGAATATCATCGAACTGGGGGGAAGGGTATGACTTTGACCGTGCCACGATGCGCCACCAACATCTGTGTGCAGATGTGCATATGATTTGTGTGAAAAATCAGGGTGGGAGGCAAGGGACTGGGACAAATTTGGGCAAACGAATTGCAAAAGGGTTAGTTGGTCGAGGATGCAGCGTGTGCAATGCGCTTGGCTTTGCTGGAGTTCCACCAAAGAATTGGTGAATGCGACCCACAGGCTTTGAGCAATGTTGCGTGGTCCATTGCGAAGTCTTTGGTAGCTCGGCAGTGGCCGTTTCCGGTGGGGTGCAGGGAGTTGGGATTTGTGAAGGTTTTGGGTTCGGGCAACTTATGAATCTTATGAATGGATCATGGATCTCCATCAGTTCTCCCTCAGGTTGTCAGAACCATCACCTTGAGGCTGCGGGACATGAGCCGTTGCTCCTGGCACTGTCCTCTGCGAGCATCGCGCGCGTGAAGAAGTTTGATCCGCAAGGGCTCGCGAATCTCAGCTGGTCCTTCGCGACCCTGCAGCAGCACGATCCTGCGCCTCAGGCGGTGAGCCAAGTAGTTTTTTATATATCTTTTTTCTCCTCTTGTTCCGAACGGAGGCCTTGTCCAAGTTGGGCTGGGAAGTGGCTCCAAAAAAGATTGGGAAGACATTGTTCGGGCTCATTCTGCCAATTTTTGGCCAGTTTTTGACCAGATGCCAGGTGCTTTTTGCTCGTGTCGGTGAAACCTTCCTCTCCAGCAGCTCCACTTGGGAGCCACAGCACATCGCAGCTTGTCAGCAGATGCTGTGCCGCTCAGCTTCCGCCATAGATGCCTCGTGATTAGGCCTAGACCCTCCGGATGAATGTCGGACAATCTGTCCGTATGGGCACGATCCATTCGACGGTGTTGGTTCCAACAGCGACCACGACATTGTTTGGTCGATTTGCGGCTCTAAGGCCAATTTTCTTTGGTCGTGCGCGAGGTGCCAGGTGGAGTCACCACCTCTACTAGCTGGGCTTTGTGCAGCATCCAGCTGCTCTTTGGACACCTGGACCTGTCAGGGCTTGGCCAACCTTGCCTGGAGTCTGGCCAAGCTGGAACGCGCAGAAAACAGCTTGTTGGAGAGGATCATTACGGTGTTAGCCCGCTCCTCGGCTCAGTCTCAGTTGGTCGGCCCGATTCCGATTTGGGTCGAACGTGTTGGCACGATGTTGGAAGGTGTGTAGTACTTGTAGGGGTCGAAAGCCTCCCCTACAGCATTCCCGGGGATGCCGATTTGTTCTGTACGGTGTCCAGTTCTTAAGCCCTTTAGCATCCTTTCTCCCGATTGTGGGGTGCATGGGCATGCCTTGCCGAGGCAAGATTCGGCGTTGCTCGCCACAGAACACGGTGAACCTGGCCTGGTCCTTTGCCAAGCTTCTGGCCGCCACGTCAGCTGTTTTGGAGCTGCTTGCCAGCCAGACAACGAGGAGCCAGCCAACTGGGGGCCGGTTGACTCCTGATGTTGCAAAACACCAGCTGTTTCATACAGTGAATAATGTGAACGGCAATACCTACAGACATACACAGAAAATCAGTCATATACACGCACACATATGTAAAAATGCATTGCCTCCAGCAGTTCACAACACTCTATGACACACACCATGACGAGGACCTTGGCGGAATTCAGCCCGCAACATTGCTCAAATTTAAGTTGGGCCTTTGCCACTATGAGCCACATGCAAGAGCCCTTGATGATGATGATCAGCTTCCTGACGCAGGATCTTCTCAGTTCTTTTGCAGTTGCATCTTGTGTACAAGTGGCTCTTTTCCCGTTTCACTTAGGCCGGCACATGCTGGAGTGCAAGGAGGAATGCCACGCCCAAGATATTGCAAGCCTTCTTTGGTCATGTGCCAAGCTTGCCTGGCAAGACCAGGCGACGAAAACAGTTGGAACCGGTGGAACATTGTCTCGTTGACCAAGGGTGGTCACAACCAAAAGCAAACCATGGTAAGCCAGCGTGAGGCTTCTTTTGAACGCGTGGCTTCGGCTCGAAAGTGGATCCACTAGTGGCGACGGTGAAATCATGCTATACAGAAATGCTCAAAAGGGTTGACATGTCAAGAAGCGACATGGGAAAAACCCTCCTTCAAACTTTTGAGCTCAAGGCCTTTCAGTGTCTTTCAGGGAAGTCGGCGCCAAAGTGCTTGGCCTCCCACTCATTGAGGTTCTCATGGTCAAACCTCTGCAGTGGAAAGAGTGTCTTTGCTTCCTCGAGCTGTTTTGCTCTTCTTAGGCGTTGAGCCTTTCTTGCGCTGACAAATTCCTGATTCAATCGAACAACCCACGTCTTGTTCGTGTGGTAGAGGGCCATGATTTTGAAGCTCTCGTAGGTGGCCTTAGTCAGGCTATCTGCCAGGTTCAAATCACCTGGTACCCAAGTTGGGTGGCAATTGCTCTCGTCCTTAGTGCCTTGTTGCACGTGAAGCATCTCCACGCCCGTGCGGGCGTTTGACATGCCCAACATCACTGAGTCGTTCGTGGTGAGGGCGTCGAAGCATCCTCTTGAGTCCATGACTAAGAGGGATTCAGTCATGCTGGCAAGCAGGTTGGAGTTCTGGCGGGTGAGCTGTTCTCCATTGAGAAGGGCCCAAAACAAACGAAGACGCCATCCTCTATCTTCTCCTTCATAGATGGCTTGACCTTCGGCTCCATTGGAGCCTTTGCTTGGCCTTTCTAACTTCCAACTTCTCCAATCTATCATACTCATCTTGCTCTCTGCCCCAGTGAGGACCGAAGGGTCTGAGAGGCATGAAACGTGTCCTCCTGTTGCCCCGCCACAGGGCCTGTTGTTGAGGCCGGCGTCGGCGAAGTGGACAGCTATCAGGTCATTCCATCTCAGCTTTTGCTTCCTGCTGGCATTGAAGGAGTGCATCACGAGGTCCTGCTTGGAGGTTTTGCGAAGTTCTCTCATTATGGAATTCGCCTCCTTGAGCTCCTTGATGGTTGGATTCTTCAAGGATGAAGCCAGCATTCCGATTCTGGCACAGAACTGCGGGGCTGTTTGAATGGCCCGCCATTGTGCCTTCATTGTCAAACCTCTTGCCTGCGTTGTTTCTGCAGGACTGAGGCGATCTGTCAGCTTCCTCTGGTTCTCGTGCTCTATGGTGACAGGTCGAAGTGCTCCACAGAATTTCTCTTGTGTCATGTAGATGGTGTAGTCCTTGGTCTGTTTCAGTTCAATGCCGGAAAAAGTGAATGAGCCAGCCTGCCAAGGTGACCAATTGTACATCTTCCTGAACTCTTCTCTATATCTTTTCCAGTCCTTGTCATCTTCCTTGCCGGTGATGATGAAATCGTCCACGTGTGAAGCTATGCGCCCACACACTTCTCCGGCTGAGTTGCGGAAGATCCATATGCACTTGTCCAACGGGTGAGCGGTTCCGCCAATCCGCTGGATCTTGGTGTCACTGTCTTTCCAGAAAATCCTTGGTGCGTTTGTCAAACCATAGATCGCTCCAACGACCTGCGTCGCCTGGTTCTTTGGAATGTGCAGGGCGCGACTGAGCTCTGGGACACCATAGGTGTAGAGCGGCTGTGTGCCAATGCCTTCATCAGCTTGGAGGAAAGCTGATTTTGCGTCGGCTGACTCCAGAAGGTGTTGGTCTAGAGCAGCGGCTTGTAGGACCAGTTGGCGTCCTAGCCTTGAGAGTGTAGGTGATGCCGTTCTCAAATGAGGTCTCCCAGTACGCTCATCTCTTCTGGCCAAGTCCGGGTGTTTATACCCAATGAGGACAATTCTGGTTTTTGCTTTTGCCAGACCATCTTCTCTGAGGACGGTTGGTGAGCCATCTGTAGGTGGTAGTTCTGGAGTTGACAAAGGCTTCCATATCAGGATCCATCTCATTGGGATGATTCTCTCCTTCAGGACTGATTCCGGAACTTGTTCACGAAGAGCTCTGAGAGAATGTGATCTCAGGACTTCAAAGACTTCTCTGGCCATTGCTTCTTTCATCAACTCCTGGTGTTGTGGTGACAGTTTTCTAAAGTTCACTTCTTTGCTCGGTCCTTGCAGCTTGTCTGCGACATAGGCCGTGCTATCCAGGAGGAACGCTTGCATGTTGTCGACTTCAAACTCAATGACGCAAGCTTCTTCTGCGTCAATGACCTTGTCGGAAAACATGAAGTCCAGAAAGAATTGCTCTTCTCTTTCTTCTGCATTGATCTCTTCAAAAAACTCTTGACGTCGGCATTCAGGGTCACTCCTTTCTTCTTCCTTCATCTGTTCATTGTCATTTTCAATCTCATAGTTCTCTTCAGTCAGGTGTTCATTCTTGAAGTCATAGAGCTGGTAGATGTCCATCTCCGGCTTTGTCTTCGGTTCTTTTGAAGCCATAGTGACCGTGCCCTCGTCATCGTCAAGGTTGTAGTGTGGTACCTTTCTCTTCCTTCCACCAGGCCGGACGGTGAATTCGGAACGGCCTGTCCATGTTCTTGCGAAAGCAGGAGTATCCTTTTCTGTTTTCTTCCAGTTGTCCTCATAGGTACCATTTTGTTGATCATCCCACCAAAATGTTCGTCGTTGTGGTTGGATGAATCTTTCTTCCACTGGACAGTCAGGAGTGGAGGTCGGCTGAAAAAGTGGCCATCGTGGAGTGTAGTGATGGCGGATGAGTTTGCCATCTGTTTCCATGTATTCCCACTCATCAGGGCGTCCAGTCTGTTCTCTTGGAAGCTGTGTCAGAGGTGGTAGTCCTTCTAGTCGTCGAGCCTTGTTGATTGACCTGGAGTTGATCCCAGTTGGCAACATGCTCTTGTACTCGGTGTCTTCGATGTTCAGGTGTTTCTCTTGACCGTGATCGAGATCGTGAACTGGAATCCGGTCCATCTGAAGGCCCACGCCATTCATCAGGAGGCGTTGCTGGTTCTCCTTCTTCAGGATCTGGTTCTCCTTCAGGTCGAGGTTCCTCTGGTAGAAGGTCTCGTTCTGGATCAAAACTTGGCTCCTTTGTCACATCCACAGTGGAGTGGAGTTGTCGAAGAAGATCACTCATAGGAGTTGCAAGTCGATCTCCATGTTTGACCATCTCTGCCAAGATTTCCACTTCTGAGGCTGGTCGCATTTGTTCAGGTGCACATCGCCATAGAGCAGTGCCCATGAGGACCCAGTAGACAGCAGCGTGTCCTCCAGGTGTAGCTGAAGGTTCCACCATTGCAATGCGACCTGGACCAATGAATCTGGGCTCATTGGTGAACTCCTTCTTTCTGGCCTTGATGGTTGGATTTCGCCAAATGCAAACCCAGTCACCCACAGCATAGGCGTTGGTAGGTCTGCTTGAGGCATTGTATAGTCTGGTCATTCTTGCTGCGGCCACTTCTTTTCGGTGGATTTGTTCAACTGCATCACGGTTCTTTTGAAGCTGCCAGAGCTCTGCGGTGTTCATGCCGTTGTTGGTGTTCACCTCCAAAGGATCATTGTCTAAGTGCCATGCTCCAGGTTCCAAGCCATATGCCCACTGAACTGGACTGTATCCTCGAACTCTGTCTCCATGGTTTTGAGCAGAGGACGCAAGGAGGGCCACCAGCTTGGGACTCAAGTTGGAGTGTTCACTTCTCACCTTCTTCATAGTGTTCTTCAAGGCTTTGACCATTGACTCAGTTCCGCCATGTTGCCAGTGAGCTTCTCCTGGTACGGCGGTCACTCCAATGCCTATGGACTGACAGAAGGCGGCAAAGTCCCCTTTTGCCAATGAGGTCTGGGCGTCAACCAGAACCCATTCTGGACGTGGTCGGTGTAGAAGCCAGGCCTCGACGAAGGCATGGATCAACTTCTGCCCAGACTCTGTACCATAGGTAGCATCATCGCCTTGCCATAGGAGGTGGACAGATGTAAATCTCATAGTCAGGCAGGTCATGAGGAGGTACCTTGCCTTGACCTTCATCTTTGGGAAGTAGAGCTCGAAGGTGTCAAGTCCAATCATTTGCCACGGACGTGAACGTGACTCTATCGAAGCAGGGAGTGTCATTTGGGCACCCTTCTTTGTTTCCAAACATGCTTGGCATCTCAACTCCAAGGCAAGTTGCGTGACCCACGGAGGTAGACCACGATCTTGACATAGCCTTGCCAAAGAGCGGTTATTCGGGTGACCAGCTGCTCGATGGAGTCGATGTAGCATTGCCTTGGTTTTCTCAATTTCTTCTTTTGGAACCTTTCGAAGCTCTGTTTCACCTTTTGTCTCCTTTCTCTCATGCTTCACGTTGTCATCAATCGCCATGATCGTCTTGTAGACTTCTTTTGGCGATTTTTGAAGGTTTCTTTGCCACTGGGATTTCCAAAGCCGAGCAATGCCATCCACCATGGACTTCGGGTAGAAGGCGGTCTCGGAGACAGCTTTGGATCCCATACCAATCATGCCACCTGGTCGGTGAGAATGCGTTTGATTGCACTTTCGACCACATCGGTCATGGAATTCAGGATCGTTGTTCATCACCAGCCAGGATTTCTGGATGAGGTGTCCATCAGGGCTTTTCATTCCATGTTGGCAGCCATCGATCTGGGTGAAGTAGATCGGGCCGAACTCCTTCTGGTACTGCTTGATGAAGTGCTGGAGTTCAGGAAGATTCCATCCAGCTATTGCGTGTTTTGGCCATTCGAAGTAGAACTTGCTGGTGTTGTGGCTGGCCATGATGATAGCCCAGATCAAAGTGATCGCACCTCGAAGTTGTCGCCGGCATCGCTGTCTCTTCTTACGAAGATCTTCAACCTGTTTCCAGTCTCTCTGATTGAGGTTCTGGATGGAAGTGACGGCGGTGCAAACCAAAGAAAACCATGATCTGGAAGGGCATTGAGTTTTTGCCTCTTCGACCATTCTTGAAACATCCGATGGCTTGCCGATGTCATACCCCGTCTCCAATGTTTTGCGATGCCCGTGGATCTTTTGTTCATGTACTGCGTTCATCAGTGCTGAGTTTGCTCGGCAGCAAATCTCCCAAACAAGGAAAGGTTTTGTGAAGTCCTGCAAAGCTTGAATTCCGTGGTGCTTCTCATCAGCTGTTGGCGTGTGGCCTCTCCAAGAGGCTCTGAGATCTCCATTTGATCACTCATGCTCACTTCTGAGCATCCCTCTTCTTCGTTGGCTCCTCGTCCTCCTTGTCGATCTGGATGAACTCCTCGTCCGTGTAGATCGCCACGGCCTCCGGCTGTGATGCGGACGATGTTGCATCCCTTGTCAAATCGTTCGGCTTTACGTATCCCTTCTTGGCTTTGGCCTTCGGAATCTTGATCAGCTGGTACTCCTTGGACACAATGGTGATCATGGCCTTCACCTGCGTGTGCGAAATGGTCTGAGGTTCCCAGCCCTCGCTCCTCAAGCGTTCCAATGCCAAGATCACGTTCTGCTGGAGGTCGACGTGTGTCGTCTGTGCTGGGGCATTGACTGCAGGAGTGTAGGAGAGCCTGACCCCGCAGGTTGTGCACTCTGTCCAGCTGCCGAATCGGTTCCCATGACTGAACGGGTGGTGGTCTCCGAAACATGGCCACTGCTGTGTCTTGGCTCGAGGGTCTCGCTGGTCCATGCCAGCCTTTCTGGTGTGGTCGAGCTCTGGCTTGACCTTGGGCTTGGACTTGCCCTTTGCCGCCGTGCTCTTGATCTCGGCTTTTGCTTCTTTCGTGGCCTGGTGGATTTCCTCCTGGACCACTTCCCGCACGGCCTTTCAAATCTCCTCCTTCAAGGACGAGTCGGCCATGAGATGCCGTCGAAGAAGGATCAGCGGGAGTTGAGGCGTCGTTCACTGTGGGCATGAGATGCTGCAAATGGTGATCAGTCACTCCCAAATGACTTGCCAAATCGTGAGAAGCTTCAAATGCAAAACACTCAAAACTGACATGCTCTTCCGTGTTCATGACATCAAAGTCCATGACGCTCAAGGTGAAAATGTCTAAGACATGACACTCCTCAACGTCACAAAACTGCACCCTCCGAGAAGGCGAAAAGGAAGAGGTCGTCTTCTTGGGGTTTTCCGCATTGGGCTCAAAAGGTTGGTGGTGGTTCTCCGGAAAAATGTGTTCCTTGTAGTCAATGATGAGGTGCTCCTTACTGTTCTTCTGTAGTTGCATGGGTCGTCCTTGGATGATGCATGCCCCGGTGGTGCAATTGATGACACAGTTCAAGTGTTGAAGTTCTTTCATCCCGGTGAGGACAGGTACATCAACTGCTGGAAGTGCATAGATGGACATGGAAACATCCGAAGTGGGGTCCTTGAGGGTGACCTTGTACAAAGCTCTGCCCCATTTGCCATTCCCAAATCTAAACCATGGTCTCGCTGTTTCAAACACGGTGACCTCCAAGTTCGGTCGCGATGAGACAAGTGCTTTGCACAAATCCTGCACAGCTTGCTTTCCGCCGGCAGTGGCGGTGGCTCCAGTGTCCACCAAAGACTGATGCGGAGGCAGCCGAGTTGGTTTGCTGCTCTCTCGCGTGGCAGGCGTTGCCGCCATCATCAAAGGAAACATGTTCGGGTCCATGTTCGAGTCATCGAATTCTTCATCCACTTCCATCATGCCCATGCTGTAGTTGGCTCCATAGCCTTTGCCCTTCGAGTATTTGCCCTTGCCCTTGTTGTAGTTGTTGCCAAAGGTGAACTTGTTCTTGCCTTTGGCGCTCTGCACCCAGTTGCCTTCCTGGAATCTTGTTTTTCCAGGACTTTGTCCTTTTCCTTTTCCACGGCCTTTTGGTTGGCCTTTCCATGGATATGTCGTGGTCGACCGTGGTTGTCGTTGCTGGACTGTGCCTGTCCAGCCACGATCTTTATGTGCAGCTGCAACGGCCTTTCTGGCCTCGATCAGGTTGCGGTCGGTCTCACCAAGTAGGGCTTCCAGCTCCATCTTGTTCTTTTCAATCTCCTCCTGCTCTTGTTGTAGCCGAAGGAGGTCTTCATCCATTTCTTCTTCATTCGGCCATTCTTCAGCTTCATAGGTTTCTTCATCAGGCCATTCCTCATAGCCTTCCGTGGCATAGTCCTGGCCGTAGGTCTCGTCAGAGTAGAAGCCATAGTGCTCCGAGTTCGGGTCGTAGGACTCTTCAGTCTCATAGTCCTGGAAGTATGCTCGTTGAGAGCCCATTGAACGAAGCCCCATGAAGCCAGGGCCTTTCCCCGGTCCTTTGCCATGAAGCTTTTCTTCAAAGAGGCCCAAAAGTGCTTGCCTGATCTCACTGTAGGCCAGGCGGTTTCGAGTTGCAGCCTTGATCAACCTTCGATCATCTTCGGAGGTGACGGCCATTTCAAGAACCATCCAGCCCCTGATGACGTCCAGGGCTGCCAAGGGCATGAGTCCCTTCTCCATGAGGCGCTCGAGGAGCTTTTCCTCTTCGGGATTCATCGCTTTGCGATGCCGTTGAGCTCCTCGATGATGAAGTGTGACTTGATCTTCCTTTTGTTGATCCTTTTGCACTAGCCTGGGTCGAGAAAGGTCTTCCAGGCTGTGACTCTCGAGGGGTATCAGTTCGTCCCTTTTCATCCGTCATTCCATCTTGTACTTCTCCTTCGTCAGGATCGTGGCCTTCAGGTTCTCCATAATATAGCGACTGACCTGGAGAGAATCCACAGAAACGTCGAAGCTCCTCCAAGTCCACATCATAGTCCTCAAAGGTCAGCTCTTTCTCACGGAGGAGTCGCTGGAGTGCACGGACCATATCATCATGAAGTTTATCCTCACGGATGAGGAAAGCACTGACACCTTCCTGAGGCTTGCGGCTCAACCTTCGATAGTAGCCGCCGATCTTGGAACCCGCGTCAGGGAGGGGTTGGTTGTTGAGAGGACTCTCTTCGAGGTACTTGATGAGCTTTGCTACGTCCTTTTCCGATTTGAATTCCTCTGGGCGCAGCTTGTACATGAGTTGGACAAGTGCTGCATGGTTGGATTGAAGGGCCTTTCGAACGATCCGAGCTGCTAGGAGAGGTCTTTCATTGGCTTTCGAGGATTGGGGGGCCCACTTGCATTCCACTATGAAATGCCCAAACGAGTCGCACCGGCCATCCCAACAAGGAACAAAGCTGGACCCATCGGGTCCCTTTTCCACCATCAGCCAGGGCTCCACTCAAGGTCCTGATCGAACCTGTGCTCCGCGGCACCAATCTCGTTGACCAAGGGTGGTCACAACCAAAAGCAAACCATGGTAAGCCAGCGTGAGGCTTCTTTTGAACGCGTGGCTTCGGCTCGAAAGTGGATCCACTAGTGGCGACGGTGAAATCATGCTATACAGAAATGCTCAAAAGGGTTGACACGTCAAGAAGCGACACATTGTGTGAAGCAGTAAGATGCTTCAAGTTGATGTTGTCCTAATTGGATCATTTATCTTTTTTACTGTTTTTGCTTGATGTTTGAACTGAGCGGACGTGCTTGTAAAATCTGGTCTGAAGACCACCTCCCGCAGGCGCTCCTCAAGCATTTGTGCGCTTCTTGCATTGTGAAGGTTGAGAGCTTCAGTGCCCAGCATATGGCCATGTGCACATGGGCCCTGGGGTGCCTCACACTTCCCCAGCAGGTTGGCCTGGGCATGTGGGGTGGTCATAGGGGTCAGTGAGGTCGTGGGATTTGGGTTAGCTTGGCCGTCCGACATGCGTGAAATTGCGCACGCCGGCCGGTTTGCCCGTCGAAATCGATATTTCTAATGCCGATTTGCTTGGATCGATCCAGTCGGACGAGCCTGGCCGGTTGCACCGTGTGAATCCTCCAAGTGTTTGCGATCCAAGATGGGTGTAGCAGGACCTTCCTCCCGGCTTTTGTTATATCTCTATCTATCTGTTTATCTATCTATCTATCTATCTATCCATCTATATATCTATCTATCTACCTACGGACATAGATGTATATTTATCTGTACATGCATGCAAGCCGAATTGGTGAAGCCTTTGTTTTGGGACAATGCCATCTCACAGAATTGTGGTCTTGCAGGAGCTGATGCATAGCTTCGCTCGCCAGCTGCCAAGGTCCCGGGGAGAGATTGGGACGCAAGGAATCTCCAACTTGGCGCATGGCTTGGGGAAGCAGGCTTTGCGTGATGAAGACTTCTTGGACTTCCTCTCTCAAGAGGACAGGAAAAAACTTGGTGTGGGGAAAAAGGGTGGTGCGACTAAATGCATGTTTTTGTTTCTTTTTTGGAGCGTTCTGTTACTGCTTTCCCGCGAGCACCTCAGGCCAGTGGATCTTTTGCTCTTTTCACGAACCAGGAGTTCGCGATGACCCTTTGGGCGTTTGCCAAGTTGCACTTCCTGTCCCCTCCCCTGGTGGCCGGGGCGTGTCAAGAATGTCTCGAGCGTCGGCCGCATTTGCTTCCACAAGATTTGGTGGTGCTGTCCTGGGCATTTGCACGCTTGGATGTTGGATGGATCTTGAGCGCTATGTCGGCCGAAGTGTTGCCTGTCGTCAGTTCAGCGGGCCCAAACAGAAGCATGCAAACATCAAGGAGTCTCGGGTTGTGAGGATTTTCTCCAGTCGATAGGGTTTGGCCAGGAACCACAGAGCCACTACTAGAGACTTGGCGAGTTTTCCTTTACAACTCGCTTCGCAGCGCGAGGCAGAAGTCCATCCCAGAACTAGGCCCTCAAGACCTGGCGAACGTTTCATGGGCCTTTGCCGCGGCTCAGGCTGGAGCTTGGAGTCTCTTGGAATTCTTCTCGATAAGTCTTTGTAACAGGGAGGGGCTCAAGGGCTTGTTCCCTTATCTCTGCCAGTCGTGTCACCAGGTGGAAGATGCGCCAATGATGAGCTCCATCGCTCAGGAAGCACGTCGACAGATCCTGGAACTGGAGGTGCAAGATGTTTCGAACATCTCCTGGGCCTTTGCGAAGTTTGGCCTCCGCGATGCGCACTTCTTTGAGGTTTTGGCGGAGAGGGTGTCTGCTTTGGTGGGATGCCTTTTGCCCCAGAACTTGTCGATCCTATGCTGGTCCTTCGCCAAGCTTGAGCTGCAAAAGCCCAAGCTCATAACCTGCATAATGCAGGAATGTTGGAAGCATGTCGATCAGTTTGATAGCCAAGGTGTCTCAAACTTGATTTGGTCTTTAGCAGTTTTGGCCTACGATAGTCCCAGCCTATGCCAGCGGCTCTCGCAGCGAGCGATATGCCTTGTGCATGAGATGACCGCGCAGGAGATGGCGAACATCGCATGGGGACTCCATGTTCTGCAGCATGGCAACACGCTCCAGTGCTTCCTGCAACACTCTATAGGCCGGCCGGTGGACAAGGGCCGGGGTATCACCAAAAAGACAAGCGCACTATGATCCACCATTTGTGTGCTGCAGAAGGTGGCCCAAAATCCGATTCAGATCCACTACCATAGAAAGTTCTGTTTCTTGCTGATGTGAACGGGTTCCCCTTTCTGAGCTTTTTGTTACTTTGGTGCTTGCTTGCCGTCCAGGCCCTTTCAGCCGAATGGCCGTGCGGGATGGAGCGGCCTGGGTGGATTTCGTCAACGTTTGCCTGGAGGCGCTACTTCGGGGGGGACCAGCGGTGTTGGAGATGTCGCAGTTTTTCCAAAAACAGTGTGGACACACTAGGGGTTCTTACGGTAATAGAAAAGCAGCTGATGCTTAGATCGCTGAAGCGGGCGGGCGTGGACGGCTAATTGGCTGCTATTTGCAGTACATTCATGCCTCCCGAAACCCTCGAAGTGCATGTCGACTGCGGGCCCGGGCGGGCTTCTAAGGACTGCGCTCTCGTTGTGGTGTCGTGCGCATTTCCGCACATGATGGTCACTTTTCGTGGCAGGCGCAAGGGTATAACCTCGTGTTTTCGTGCTTCAAGGTCGACTTTTCGTGACAGGTGCAAGGGATCGGAGCTGTTTTACTTCGAAATGCCCTTTTCGTGGCAGGTGCAGCACTTTGGACATGGTGGTGGTCGTCGAGGAGCTCAGATTTCATGACAGGTGCAGTGAGACGTGACCTTTGGACATGTGGCTCGTTTGCAGATTTCGTGGCAGGCGCAGCACTTGGTGAACCTTGAAGTGCAGATTTCGTGGCACGTGCAGCACTTGGATTTCGTGGCAGGCGCAGGACTTTGTGAACCTCGAAGTGCAGATTTCGTGGCAGGCACAGCGCTTGGTGAACCTCGAAGTGCAGAGTTCGTGGCAGGTACAGGACTTGGTGAACCTCGAAGTGCAGATTAAGGCACAGCACTTTGCGAACCTCGACGCGCAGAGTTCGTGACAGGCACAGCACTTGGTGAACCTCGAAGTGCCAGAGTTGGTGGCAGGTACAGCACTTTGTGAACCTCGAAAAGCAAAGTTCGTGGCAGGCACAGCACTTTGTGAACCTCGACGCGCAGAGTTC